AGGCAGTTTTACGTACCTTTTTCAAAACATATTGAAGTCCGTCGTTCCTGTTATTAACAAGAAATACCGCTCCTGTCATGAAAGGGAAGTTAATAGAAATGCAATATCCATAAAGCGGCAAAAAAGCTATAAAAAATTATCCGGAAAATGAACGTCGAGTGAACGATTTGTACGTGATCGATAATATCCGACATTGAAAGCAGCAGTACCGGGTCCGCCGGAAGACAGACTGGTCAACAAGGCGCCTGTGTACTCACCCTGTGCACCTTTTCCTAGTCGCTGTTTTATCTGAAATCGGGGAGAATATGTTATTACACTGAAGTAAAAAAAAATTCAAATGAAAACGAACACAAATATTATGACAATGCAGCGAAATCAAGAACGTAACATACCCTGTAGTTCTCCATTGCCGTCCGATAGCAACGCTCCACAACATTAGTGTACGCATGCGCAGTAAGGTCAATTTAAAGGGATTTCTGCTTTTAAAAATAGCGCCAAGTTATCGAAGAGACAAGCAGAAGAAACGACAATAACAAAAGCAGTAGTCGCTCTGTGATTTAGATTTTACGGAGATTCATTTATATACCATTTTACAGTGCGGAGTCACATTTACTGTACATCACATGCACTTCAGCAGAGTCCGTGCAATGTGGCTGAAACCTCAGACAACAAATAAATTTATTAGTTGTGCAAGTTGAAACCCAAATGCTTTCGGTCGATATTATCTATATTGATCACAGTTCCTCTATCATATAGAGCATGGAAAGTACTTAGTATAGAGGAACTGTGTATTAACTATTTTCCTCGGCTATTGATCAAATTAAAGTTTTCGCCCATCAAATGACTGGTTCGTTTAGAAAACAACCCTCGTCGATCGTGAGCGCAGGATTCCTTCCTTGGTATAGAAACAGATAGATACAATACACACGCCCAAAACAACATTACAAGATAGAATTTGTCTACATTGTAATTCGCATAATGTAGAAGATGAAAAACATTTACTAATAGTTTGTCCAAAATACATGACATTACAGCAAGATTTGTTCTCACATATAATATTCCCAAAAGAAATCAAAATTAATAATTGAAAAATTTCAATTTATAATGAAAATAGGACAAAACCTCAATTATGTGTGTTGCACAATTTATCTTCATGGCATTCCAACAACGCACAACAAAATATGTGATGTGAACTTATTATATTTTATTATATTTTATTTACTTTTTTAAATTCTTCTTACTAACTTGTTATATTTTATTTTATTTTTTTGTATTGATTAATATTTCTATTGCTATATACTGAAAGAAATGTATATTTCGAAAGATGCAATAACAAATTGTTATTATTATTATATCTGAGCCTGTTCATTATTTGTTGACAGTCCCTTGAGCTTTTTCGTAGCAGACAGTTTGTTTTAAATGTGACTACTCAATTATAAATCGGAGACCGCCAGAGTGTTCGGATAAGTTCGATAGTTTCACCATGAATCACAAACTGATAGAGAAATCTGAAATTCATTATCTTGCAAAACAAATGTGATAATTTTGTTGTTCAATCACAGTCACAATCCCTCTGTGGGGGACTGTGGTTCAATGTATCTTGACTCATCGCCACTCTCATCGTCGTTTACCGCGCCCTCTTGTGGCAGATATACTATTTGTTCAAGCTAGTACCCAGTACAGCTTTTTACGCAACAGGATCCGCATTGCAGCCAAGGCAGTTAACACTTTTATGTTGATACATAAACTAATCATGTTTACTAGATTACTTCTACAACAAAAGAGGTGTTACCACTGCGGCACCAATTGAGATCTGTTTTGTCTGAGGTACCTGAACTTATGTAAACATACTGTAGATTAAACTATGGTTAAAACACACAATGAATGTTTGTAAAAACCATTAATCTCAAAAGTTAAAAAGAGTGTCCATGTTTGATGGTTGTGTGCGAGTTTATGTTGCATGTAATCCCTTCTCAGCCAAGTCACTTTGAGTACATATTGGTGTTTACATGTGCTGTATATTCTACAATAGACCTTTTTGTAAGGTCTATGATTCTACTAGAGGTTGCAATTCGGACACTGATGTTGAAAGAGCTGTCTGTTGGCAAGAATGAGTCCATCTATGACCTATGATAGAGCGACTGTGTGTGACAGAACATCCGATACCCACTTTGAAACTTGAAAATTGGTATTTCAATTATTTCTTAACCTTATAATCCCTTGACACGAAATGTGCACAGTCCCACATCACAGTATTTTGAAAATCAGCCATTGTAGATAGATATCATAGCCCTAAATTGGGTAAAACTTATTTACCCATTGATTTTGATGATTTTTGCTGTAGTTGCATTGAGACAGTTTCCAGTGATTTTTACCCTACAAACTTTAAAATAGTCAACAAAATGCAGTGTTGTACAACAGAGTAGCCATAACATTCCCTATTAATTCCGAACGTTCTACATTGGTAAGATGCGCACCACTGTACCATGAATTATATGGGCTCTGTGCGCGCTGCTGTGGAAAAGCCCGTATAAAAAACAGCACACTCAACTTTGAAGTACTGGTAATCCTGGGCAACCAAATTTATACATGTTGCACATGAAAGGATGATCTCGTTACAGTCTCAACAACTACATGTATCCAAAATTATAGTTTCCCAAGTGCTTTCCCAGTGCTGGCTGCCAGGCAGTGAAAATGCCCCCCCCCCCCCCAATAGAGAATACATGTTCTCATTACTAAACTACTTAAGGTCATCATCATAGCAAATTGCAAACTAGTGTTGATCAGTGAGCGGCATTTGTTACATTCACATAGTGGTTGGCATAAATGTGAACAATGACATCACAGTGCCATGGCCAATGGTAGGTCATCCAATGACTTCAATGGCAGATTCAAACTTACTCCAATAACTGAACCAATAACAACAAAAATACGTTTCCAAATAAAAAAAGTTTATTAACAACAATGCAGTGTACCGGGTACTGAAGTCGCTTTTACATTTGGACAGATGTGAAAATATACTGAAAATAAAAAGCCAATTTAGTTTAAAAGTGAAAAAAAAAATGAAATGACAATGACAATTAGGTAGCTTTCATATGCGCACAGGCAAAACAGGTGCTGAAATAAACGGATCATAAAAATCACTATCTCCCTATCAATTGGAACATTCTTCACAGTGTTTATGACTTTGCAAAAAATTTGCATACAGAAATTTATCACATAATTTATTGTATTCAAGTGTGGAATGCTCTGTATAGCAAATATTCACCATTTACCTGTAGTAGTATTTCATTTCAATACCTTCATTCAAAATCTGACAGAAAACAATTTTCATCCTCGACAAAACACATCAGTTATGTGGTTTAAACAGAAGATTTAAATTCTGTGAATGATTTTTACCTTCCAGCACCTCTGGTTGTGTTACAGGTAGGACGAAGAGTTAAAGTCAAAACAATAACCACTAAGAAAATTAAAGGGAAGATGTTGGTTTTCATGACCAGTTTATTTCAACACCTTAAGTAAGCATCCATGACAGACAATACTATAAGCTACATATCTATTTATATTCTACATTAAATACATTTGTTTTATTTTGTCATTTGTTTCATCTGAGCTTGTTGAAATTTCTGTTGTAATTTACTCAGTGATTCTCTATGCGTGTCTTGCTTTTTATCTAAATCTTTGATGCTGTCTTCAATTCTTTTCCTGCAACAAAATAACATTGAGTAGTCAAAGTGTGGAATCGGGTTTGATTGAGCATTGAATGAAGACATCTGTTATTGTGTTTGCTTTGTGAAACAATCTACAGCAATATTTTTTGGCGAGGATGTGACGGAAAATAAAATTGAGACTTACAGTTCGCTAGATATGTATTCTATTCGTTTCCCTACATTCTGCTTTGCCTCTTCCACATCTTGTTTCACCAACACAGGTCCCATTAATTTAAAAACTTTACCATCATCTTCAAGTATGTCCAGTTCCTATGGTAACAAATTACAGGTTGCAAATCACACATAGTAGTACCAGACCCTGGCAGTTTACTCAAGTTAATAATTTATTATAATAAAAATAATAATAGTATAAATTGTAAGAATGTCCATAGACTGGTCTATGGATTGGCAATTTCCAGGTTAACTCTTTGAACAATAATTTTTTCGCCATCAAAATTTGATATAACATTTTGAACATTTCTAATTAATTATCATTGTAGATAATCTTCAAATAAAAGAGAGTAGCATCAATGTTGATTACAGAAGCGTGGATCTGATGTTCCTTTAATTAACTGGGATGTTTGGTTTGTCAGATATACTGCAAAATCATTTATTTTGCACTATTCTGATGCCTTGAGCAATTGCACAAACTTGGGATGGAAACAATGATTTCTATTATTTTACATGTTTTAAAAGATTTTAATTTAGTGATTTTACACGATAGAAAAAATAGAGAAATTAAAAACCACTAATAATTGTTGCTTTTACAGTAATCTCTATATGCTGGCAGTACATCTGGAGTCTGGAATCAATGAATTATTTGCACTTACATCTTTAACAATTTTGTTTTCATTCAATTGTGAATCAAGCTGTTGTCGATTAGCCAAAGCTTTTTGGTAATCTGTAAGAAAAGAAGAGAAGTCACAAGGTATTACATAAGCATTCACTATTTTTCTGACCTCACAATTCTTTGATGGTTCTGCAATAATGATGATACCAAGGGATTTCTTCTTTTAATTTTCAGAATTTTTTTTAAGCCAATCAAAAACATTTTTTGTGACATTCTCAAAGACTGACTGGAACAGAAAGTCAGTAGAAAACAACAGATTTTTCGTTAGCGTGGGGGAAAGTTGGTCAGCGCGAGGGAAAATGCAATGTTTGTGATTGGTCAAGGCAACAATTGGAATATCGTGATGGAGGTGGGTCTTTTAGAATGTCGCCGGGCATGTTCCAACCAGGCCAAGGGGAATTTGAAATGATTCAGAGTAGATTCTCAATACAGCAGTCATTGACTATTTCATTAAAAAGGGAAAAACTTTCCAATATACCCCACCTCTAATCCTAACTCTAACCCACTTGTACCCTATTGCCCCCCCCCCAAATTTATTGTACAAATGTATATGCCCCTCTTGAGAACACTTATAGTTATCTAAATGGGCATATAAAACTTACTGGAAGCTGGAGGGTTAGGGTTAGAGTTAGGGTAAGGGGTGGGGTATACTGCAAAGTCTTTTCCTAAAAATAACCGGTTATTAACCACGCACAGCTAAGCCAGGTTTTCGTTATTATGGATAAAACAAGATATTACAATGTCAAGGCATGATCCGGCAAAAAACTAAACCAACATTACAAGAGTTGTTTCGCGGATAAAACAAGATATTGTTAATTTAATGCAATGTTATTAAAGCAGTGTATAACACTGGTATTTCTTATGACATCTTACCTTTTTGAACATTTTTTAATTTATCGAGTTCGTCTTGAAGTTGCTTTTGCAGCATTTCCAACTCTCGACCAGGCGCCATGATTGGAACTCGTTACCCACAATACAGTTAGAAAGCTTCCGGGGTCAAAGGTGAGACAAGGCAACGACCTGTCCGAGTTTATTTTGGTGCCGAAAACCGAGCAGACAAAAGTCACAGCGATATGGCCTTTCGTGGATGGATGTTTATGTCTTTTAGGTCCGCAGGTTTGAGAGTAAGTATGAGTTTAGAACAATACATCCCTTTTTCATAAATAAGTCAATGTTCTGCAAAGTTGTCATTTCATTCATCCTGAACTCTTGACCGCGTCACGTCGGGGGCGTCACGTCTTCGGTCTTCACGTCACCCGTCTTTTCGTAGAACTACCCGACACGTATAGATAAGACAAGTCGTCGGTATAGTCCCGTTAGTGACTGCTTCCGCAGCAAAACTATCTTCACTATTATTTTTTGCATTTTTTTTTTCTTCATCAGATTTCTTCCCAGAGTTTCTATTGGCCTAATACCGTGGAACTATTTTCTAAGACAGCTCAAATAACACCGACTCGAGTATATTTCATATATTTTTCCAATTACCTATATTTATAAGACACTTCGCGCGATTTTATGAACCTTTTATAATTTTTATGATTAGATATAATGTCGTATCATTTTGGCGCAATTCAAAATCACTCTGGATAATTTTCTTCAATCTGCATGTGTAGAGGGGGGCAGTGGGTAGCTGGTACAGTTTTACGTGAAATAAAAAAGGCTTTTTACAATTTACAACGAAAAGAAAAACGTTTATACAGTTTACAGCGAAAATTTAATTTTGTAGCAAATTGTGTCATCTAATCGCTTTACAGTTTCGAAAATATAATTTCCCTAGATTATTCTTTACGGCTTTTTTTATTTGGATGTAAATTCTTGTGCGTACCGAGAAAAATGACACATTTTTACAGTGTACAAAAAAAAATATTTGATTGATTACGTTGTACGTCTAGCCTGTGATTACAGAATTACTGAATTTATTTTTTTAATGTACGTTGTACGAACAAAAAAATATTGCAATTACGTTGAACGAAAATAACCCTCTGTGTACTATTTGAAATTTTGATAATTTTAATGGTGTACAATAATTTTTGTATATTTACATGTATATTCACATATACCAATAAAATATTACCAGTAGTAAGAGATGAAAGTTTTCGTTTCTAACTAGTACTGCAAACTATGTAAAATTAATAAACTGTAATGTAATTTTTCTAATTTGCGTAATTTAGCATAATTACAGTGAGTCTCATAAGTATTGGGCAGCAAGTTAGCAAACTTGCTGACACCTTTGCTTTTGACTAAAAGGATTTGACCATCGCAAATGATTGTGTCCTATACCTCGTAATATAAAAAAAAATTATTTTTAGAGATGCCCTAGTAATTCTGAGACTTGTTGTAACACAATTTTGCTCAATATACAGTCAACAGTCGGTTGTACCCAATATTAATCTATTATTATGAATAATTATTGTGTATAAACGTAATAGGTGTGAATAAATTGTGACTGCCGGGTCAGGAAGTATGGAGTGCCGTTAGGCCCAATCGACTGTCCGGGGCTACAATTCACTGGTAAGATTTCTTACCAGAGCCGGGTACTTTCATATGTAAATGAAATAGTCGTGGAGATGTCTAGCATTTTATCATGGCCAATTGTGAAAAGGGTCAAGGGTTGCTATAGTAGGGGGTTGCCCATGACTTACACTAAGTTTGTTTTGACTGTACAATACACCATGGAGGTCTCTTTTTACCTCCATGGTTACACAATTAAGACACTTTCGACAGCAGTCAAATTATTCAATTGTAATATCAATTTTCTTGACGAATGCATTATACAAGTCAACAGTAACATACATGTACAAGTATTTAAATTTCCAGTATTTCAAACATGTGCGACATTGGAACATTTAACTACTGTTTCTCGCATTGCATTGTGGGAAAAGATAGACTGAACATGATTCATGATATATTTCATTGTCTAAATCACATTATACACAGAATAACAGACATAGCTTCAAACGAATAATGTCTCATTATTATCTTCCTGCATTTTCACAAGCCCTTTTCATGTAAAACAAGTTGCATTTCATAATGCCATATTATGACTCAAGTAATTGAGAATACAAATCTTTATCAAATGAGATTCCACAACAAATCAATTAGGAAGTTGCAAAACAATCACTAACATTCAAACACACTGAAAATCTCTGAAATCTGTTCCAATAATGAATGCATATCCCATCAAGTAATAACCAATAACCTAAAATATATATATATGTATATTTAGTCATCTTAAAGCGAGGGAGTCGTCACCTGCGCATGCGACAAATGGCTATAGCGTGTCATTGTTTACAAACAAGTGTCATGAGTCTTTGCCTTTTCAGCATGCATTGTTATCGTCGCTTGGGACTCAATTACTGCATGTGCACAGGTGTAGACCCCTCCACTTTAATTAATAGTCATACAGGTATATTCCCTCCTGTGTGTTATGATGAATGGTACAGTAGACAGTTCATAGCTATAAAGCACATCTGGTGACTATCAGCTGACACTGCTTGTTTTGGATCGTTTTAAATCTTCTTTGATAGATCAGTATCCAAATGAATATATTCTATTAATACCACTAGACATGCACAAGGTGCAGAAGATTCTCCTACAATACCCATAGAAACTTCAGCCAGACATCTGAAGGTACTGCTGAAAAAAGTTCCGCATTTGGGAATGCATTGCTGATCATACCAGTTACAACATTCTGCCTTGGTACATGGCAGGTAAAGAGAAAGAAATGGAAACTCGGATTGATCAAAGATCTGGAAGAAAGGACAACAGCTCCTCCTATAGACCATTTACCAACTGAGTAAGTCAGTAAGAACTCCTAATATGGTATGTGTGGATTTGAGCATAGACTTTAGGAAACAGGTGTAAGGTGTGTGGGTTAAAGCAACGCTGTTGTCAGAACTGTGAATGTGCGTAGTGAAGGCTCAAACAACAATGAATGTTTGCGTATTGATAGCAGCCACTTTTTGGATATCTACTAAAAGCCAGTCCTGCATTTATGGGCAACTTAGTAATTTCAAGAAATTGACAAACTTATGTCTTATTCATGTTCATAAATCAAGGTTTTTCAGGACGTATAATATGCATGTGTGTAGTGAGCGTGATGCACAGTTTCGACATTAGGCTAGTAAGCACCACAATGATCTTGAATCAAAGCATAGACCCTAGCATCTCTAAGATGAAGTTGGTTTGGCCTGTTACATGCCATAGAGCAATGTTTTAGTTGCTTTTAATTAACTTTTAATTTACTATCTATGCAAGTCACATTCAGACTTTGCGGAAACAATGCAGTATTAGTCAGAGTGGCTAGCTTGTGTATCAGTGATCATTTAGTGTTTTTATCTACCTGAGTGTGCAAAGACTGACATGAAATTGCTGTGCTTTCATAGTAGCATTTCTGCATTCAATGTAAACAAAGGGAAGTTTTCAAATGCGACATCAATAGCCCATAGCACATCGAATTAGTGCTGATACGTTTTGTAATGAGGACTGAAACAGCTTTTTTGGAACAACATATTCTATTGTTTTCCGTGAAAACTGTTTAATAATACCAGTTATCATGGGCCACATGGTTTAAAAATTCATACCTGCATATTCTGCAAATTTGATTCTTGTAAATGCATGATTTTTTATTTGATTTTTTTCTCCAGTCCTGTTGAATTACAGAAACTAGAATATAGAAGAGTCAAGATCAGAGGAACATTTGATCATTCTAGAGAAATATACGTGACTCCACGATCTTTGTATTCACCAGAATTATCACGAAAAAATGAATCCAAGGGAGGTATGATGTCCTCATCTTCAAATATTGGAGCAAATGTAATCACGCCTTTTTATATTCCGGATTTGGGGTAAGTAAAGTGAAATCAGTTCACGCAGATGAAAGTTTACACTTTGGTTGTTTAGATGTTGGTTTAGAAAGGTGTTGGTACCAGTATATAAAGATGTTAGGTTTATAGTGGTTTTGGTTGATAAAGTGCTGTTGAGGTTATACATACTTGCAACTACATTTTTGTCAGTACTATATTTTTTATATATTTGGTCTAGATCAGTTTTTGTTGTAATTGTATTCATTCTAGTAATTGTTTTTAACATTTATTTTTTAACTCAGTCTTTATTTTATTCTTATTTTCTATTATTGTATTGTATTGTATTGTATTGTATTGTATTGTATTGTATTGTATTGTATTGTATTGTATTGTATTGTATTGTATTGTATTGTATTGTATTGTATTGTATTTAGAATTGTCCTAGTCTTGTAATACTTTTTATTTACCATACTGAACCCGCTGATGGTTTGGGTAGTGTAATAAAGTTATTATTATTATTATAAAGTTTAGACTACTCAAAGACAAATTGTTTCTTATTTATTTTCTGTAGGATCAGTATTTTAGTAAATAGAGGTTGGGTTGCACGCAAGTTTATGCAACCTGAATCCAGACCAGATGGACAGGTAAGCCGCACGTATTGTCACCTAAAAAATACCTAATTAAAGCTTGGTAATCTGTGCAACAGCCAAAGTCGCCATCTTTGTTTATATGAGAGCCATATATTTGATGACTAACGCCTTTAATTAAATTTTTACCATGCTAATTATTGGTAGTGCACAAATATGAGATTTTTGATATGTGAGGTACATCACATCTTGTATAAATTAACTCTTCATTCAATAATGCGCTTTGAGGAGTTTATTATTGTTATTGTACTATATGTTTAGATTGCAGGTGAAGTGGATCTTGTAGCTGTAATCCGAGGCAATGAAAAGGTATTTGCAACCAGCAATTTGTATATGGTTTAATTTTTGATATCAAATCCTCTCTGATTTGGTTCAAAATTATGATTGGGTTTAGGGTTCCATTCTCTGAACTTGGGGGAAGGGGAAATTCGCAATTTTTCTTTGTCTTTGACTATTTTACTCTTTTGTTTGAAATTGTATTTGTTTTTACCTAGACACAATTGTAAAGAATATTCTGTAATTTTTTAAAAATTACAGATTTTTTTTTTAAATTTGTCTATGCACCCTCAAACTGTATCTAATTAAATCTTTATCCATCAATTCTTGGTTAAACCTAAAGTGTGTCATAGTTGCTAATAATATCTGCAATTTGAAATTAGGGAGATAAAATGGGTAGGTTCTTGAGTTGTGGGGTTCTGTTATACTGTAAAATGCGCTAAATTAAAACCCAATGAATATGTAAAATTAATTATAAACACATTATCTAAATGATAAAACCGTGAATTTAAAACCTACTGGATATGCTTGAAATCAGCGAAATTTAAACCCAGTGAGAATTAGTCATTTTACAGTATTTCAATTAAGATTTTGTTTCTTTAATTTTGTTAACAATTGATGATTATTAAATTTTAGTTTTGTTTCGGTTGAATCTTTTAAGCCTTCTCATTTTCCTAATGGTCTCTTCTTAATCAGAAATACCATGTGAAAATTCCTTGGTGTAGAATTACAATGTAGTGATGTAACTGTATTGAACTCAAACACCATATGTGTGAACCTCAAAAAAACAAGATCTTGGATCTTGTGATGGTTCGCCTAACGATTTCCTAGTTTGCGGTGTGGTTATTACAATGGGTTCACAAGTTATAATACAGTGTGTGGCAGAAGCCTGTGTTCATTAAAAATGTTTTATAAATATAAAGTCTTGTAAATTCGAAATAGTTGTTCCAATTGAACAATCCAGCAATGGTTTTATGACATTATAGTGTGTAAAAATTAATATTAATAAATTAGGTCAATGTCATCCAATCGGCAAAAGCTATTGGTGTTAACAATGAGACCTCTTGAGCAAATCATAATTACATATTGGATAAAAGCTGAGGGGCAATATTTACCAATATTTATAATTGCATTAATAAACTGAACAACATGGGTTTAATTTATCGTAAAATATAACCATTGCATGTGAGTACTCAAGCCAAGTTGCAAATGTAGCAACTTACAGGTAGCTGGCAATGTTGATGTTTCGGTGCGGTGACAGTAATAGAGCAAATACAGTATATAGATTTAAAAACAGGTGTGCTGATGATGTGTGAAATATGGTACAATACCAAACTTCCTGCATGCAGTTGCCATGGTAACATAATTTTTGGTACCTTTACATGTGTTCCATTTTGTTTCACTAGAAACCACCTTTCTCTCCGGATAATGATCTAAGTCAAAATAGCTGGCTCTATCGGGACATTCCTGCTATGGCAGAGTATGGAGGAACTCAACCGATATTTGTGGATGCAGTTGCAGGTGATTATTGTTGTGCTATCAAGTCCTTTATTTTCACTTGAAATCAGTGATATGTACATTGCACTGATTTTCTTGAATGAAAATATCCTAGATTTTGTCAAAATTTAATTATTTCATCATTTAATTTACTCATGTACTCTTGCGACAAAACCATATGTGCTCTATTAGATTCAATTCTCAATTAGAAGTTCATATAAATTAAAAATTGTATGATTTATAGTATGTTGGAAAATTAAACAAGCAGCCAGTCGGCTGAGATAGCTCCGCTGTTAGCAATGCACATTTCAATTAAAGAACTGAAGATATCATTAGAAAATGAACAATATGTATAGTATCAAAGCAATGGAACTTGCTGTTTTCAACAAGAATTCAAAAATATCACTTTTCACCAAAAATGACAAAAACAATCATCAAAATTAGATAATTGAAGATATCACCACGAAATGAACAAATCTGAGAGAGGTCCACATGTAGTACCTATATGTGTAATATCAAAGCAATTGGACTTGCGGTTTTTAACAAGAAGTCAAAAATATCACTTTTTACCAAAAATGACAAAAATATTCACCAATATTAGAGAATTGAAGATATCATTACAAAATGAACAAATCTGAGAGCAGTCTACATGTAGTACATATATATGTAATATCAAAGCAATTGGGCTTGCGGTTTTTAACAAGTCGAAAATATCACTTTTTACCAAAAATGACAAAAATATTCACTAATATTAGAGAATTGAAGATATCATTACAAAATGAACAAATCTGAGAGCAGTCTACATGTAGTACATATATATCAAATATCAAAGCAATTGGACTTGTGGTTTTTAACAAGAAGTCAAAAATATCACTTTTTACCAAAAATGACAAAAATATTCACCAATATTAGAGAATTGAAGATATCAATACAAAATGAACAAATCTGAGAGCAGTCTACATGTAGTACATATATATGTAATATCAAAGCAATTGGACTTGCGGTTTTTAACAAGAAGTCGAAAATATCACTTTTTAACAAAAATGACAAAAATATTCACCAAAATTAGAGAATTGAAAATATCATGAAATGAACAAACCTAAAAGGGGTCCACCCAAGGTACATATACACCAAGTATCAAAGCATTCAGGCTTGTAGTTTTCAAGAAGAAGTCGAAAAAATAAAACATGGACACGGACGACGACGGACAATCACTCGTATGATAAGCTCCGCTCGACAAAGTTGACAGCAGAGCTAAATATGACTTATTTTGACCTTAGATCTCTGTTAGTACCAGTAGAGCAAATATGGTATTTATTTTTCAAAAACACCAAAATCTTGTTCACAGATGATTCACATGCTGCTTCAAACAGCTAACTTCGGTAGTTCGCAGCCACGCTGCATCTACCATAACTACTAACTTCTTGAGGCCACGCTGCTCTTTTTTGCCACAGCCTTCGTTGCCTATACCTAAAATTGGCAGTCGCGCTGCAATCTCTCATTACACTACAGCCCCAGCGACTGAAGCTTCATTACTAACACAGATTAATGAGTTGTGTATTATTTCAGAGTTCTTGCGTTCACATAGTAGGGGCTCATGACTTGTCTATCCTAGTATATTTCTTGTAAACCAATGGATTTCGTTGTGTGCCCCCCTGTTTTGCCAAAGTAATAAAGTTTTTTTTTTTCATGTACCTATCTGTGTTTTTGTCATAAACTCAATGAACAGTTAAAAATGAAATACTGCCGAAACATGTTTTACAGCGATATTAGTGAGGTTTACTACAACCCAATCAATATATAATAAAAATGAATAGCTACAATGTTTCAGTAGTGTTCAGATTTACATTTTGCTATCAGAGGGGGCTGTTACCAAGTACATGTATTAATATGTCTTTTGTTTTTTTTTACTTGCAGAGTGCTCAGTTCCAGGTGGACCTGTTGGAGGGCAGACTAGGGTGACTCTACGAAACGAACACACACAGTATATTATAACATGGCAAGTTCAAAATTATTACGTCACTTTCTCTCTTTGTTGTTTAATTTTTCTAGGTTAAACTTTTAAATTTGTGATGTGCAAATATTTCGGGAGCTGATAATTTTCGGTTATAACCTTTGTGAAAATCACTATGCCTCCTGTCTTAATCTTTTCACCACCAGTTCCCTCTTTTCATCACAAATTCACAAAATAGTCCTGTGTATAGTCTGCATTTTCCTTTAGAAGATTGGGACAAAAATAGACAGATTTTTTAAGGGAAAATGGGAAATTGACTTAAATTTTGTCGGTTGACTCCAAAATTAGGGTTCATTTCCAGAAATATTAAAGAATATGAGAAAAACGGGCAGAAAAATTTGGATGAGAAAGTCTGGTAGTTGAAAAGGTTAAGAACATATGTGAAATGCTCGCATGCAAAACAGCTATGACATACTGTAAAATACTTTATTTTAGCAGTAAAAGACTTTTTGAGTGTTTTGTATGGAATTTATTTTTTCCTGTTATGACGAGTTGAATGTAAAATATAGGAAAAAAACTTGTATTTGCTGGATTTTATTTTCACTGAATCACCCCTTCAGTGACAATAGTGAATATAAATTCCAAGCAAAAGTACAGTATTTTAACAGTAAATGGACAACAAACAAACAAACAATCTTCATATTTATTTCAAGTCCAGCTGTTTATAACAGCTCCAAAGTTCTGCTCAAATTAATTTTCATCAGTTTGTATATCACTACATAACACAAAATATGATATATGTGATTATGAATATTGAAGCAGTGATTTTATGTCACAATTATCATCATAAATTGTGAATGTGTGGAGATTCGGTACACAAGAATTCAACGTACACAAATACCAATAAACAAAATTATCTTGCTACTTGGTCACCTGACACCTTTAAACTTCTAGACTGGATGTTATACAAGAAATAAACTACAACTATGTGTATTAATTGGGTCATTTACATATTCCGTCATCTATTTATAGCATTTTGACAAAAAACTTTCTTTGTATATCCACTATATACAGTAGTATTTACAAGAATTATTGTTATGTTTTAATTACAGGTATAGTCTCTCAGCATTGACTGCATTGATGTGGTTCTTTGGTGTTTACAAGAAGAAGAGACCCACAAAAGTGCCATTATAACTATAAAATGCTAGACATTCTAGTTGTTATCCAGATCGAATTATGAAAATACCCTCGCTGGACAGTTACTAGAGCATAAATTACAATGCTATGCATGTACCAATGATTTGAATGCAGAGTAAACCTATCCAACATAAGGGGATATGCTACGTTTCTAATAGTCTTGATTTTCAGCTCTTGTCATTCAAGTGTTTCCAAAATAGCTAAAATTCTTTGATGTCGCTAATTTTGTAAACAAAGCTGTAAATTTTACAATAAATGTCACTTCTTCCAATATGTGAAGACCTAATGGGACATGATCAGAATGTTGGAGTTGACCATGTCTTGCTTAGAACAGAGTGTGGAGAAACAATAGACCATTTTCCGTTCACTGCGAGATACTGCGCTGTGCGTAAAATCGAACGTAAAAACAAAGGTCATAGTGTCAACAAACATCGCGTGGCATTTGACAGATGCCAAAGTATTTTTGGGGAAATTTCCATGGTTAATAATATGCTGTATACATTTGATGATGGTCAATTT